GGCTGATGCTGACATCAAATATAGAATTGGAGACTATCTATAATGTTACTGATAGTGAGTAAAAATATGACTCGAAGAACAACGTCCACAACATCAGCATTCTCATGGCGGTTATAACAGATGCCTTAAAATAGAAGATGTGGAGTCCTGTAGCTCATGTGGTTAGAGCACTCGCCTTGCAAGCGAGAAACCTGGGTTCAATTCCAGGCAGGGCAAAGCCTTGGGCAAGTTTCCTTACTCCACACGCCTAATAATAATCCCTCCAAAACAAACAATAATAAAAAATTGGTCATTTTCAATCCATGACTGTTTGTGGGACACTGCTGTGCGCAATTGGCTGCCGCGTTTCGCCCACAAACATACGATCAATTCACTTTACAGTATATTCTGTGAAGCGCTTTGAGATGTCGAGAAGACGTGAAAAGCGCTATGTCAAATGCAAGGATTATTATTATTATTATTATTGCTGATGTGATGAGTCATAAAGAGACATGTTGGTTATTTTACCAACCTGAGGAATCTTACCCACAAAGTGTCTCCATACATAGCATACAAACATATAGAACCTCATAGTGCCCTGTATTAAAACAGAAAATAGCAACAAGTTATTATAGATATTGATTTTAAACATGAGAAGACTGGTAATGTTTAGTTAACTGTTGGTTATATAAAAGCACTCCCCTTAGCACTGTATTGTAGTGTCAGCCTCGACTATGAGTTTCAAATCCCAAGCCTTTTAGCATGTTTGTTCATATTTTTTGTTAACCCCTATGATATAAAGTTTTTTGTTCGAAAAAATATATAGCTCTCGCGTTGGATTAAACTGCTGCCGTATGATTTATTCTTGGGACGTCCTCCCGACGTGAAAGGCGGTCTATAAATGTAATTTTGTTGTTGTTGTATTCTGTGGGGAAAAAGGATTTCACTTTGGGAGGAAAACGACTGTGTCGGAAATAAATAAGTGAATGCTGGAAATCCACAGCAGGTTAATCAGCATCTGAAAGAGAAAAATTACTTATCCAGTTTGGCTGTAATCCTTTAAATGTACTATTAGTATTATCACCATCCTACATAGCTTTGCCCCCAAAATATATAGTCAATCCTCTATACAATATAGTCTGTGAAGCGCTTTGAGATACCTCGAAGACCTGATATAAAATGCAAGGATTATTATTTTTTATTTATCAATTAAACAGGTGCTGAATGGGACTGTGGTAAGGGCCCAATATAGCTAATAATTAGCACCCACAGAAAAGGGCACTTTCACAGAAGAGTGAGTCTCATGCAATGCTCTGAGCTGACAATACCATACGCTAATTTAGTCAATGCAACAGTGAAATCGATCGCCTTGTAATCTAATTAGGCAGCAATCAAAAACAAGGTGTGCAGGCATCAGGGGGATTTGGCATCAACAATGATTGTTTCAGAACAAAGGAACGTAGCAAAGCTTTATTCAATATACACACACCCTTTTGAGCTCATTAATCGCATACTGTAACAGCTTATGACCTCTTCACAAAATAATAATAATGATTTGGTCACTCAATCCGCAGCTGTTTGTGGGACACTGCTGTGCACAATTGGCTGCTCCATTTGACCCACAAAATATATAGTCAATTCACTTTTGGAGCCCTTTGATTAATTACGTGATAAGGTGCTATATCAAATGCAAGGATTATTATTAGTAGTAGTACTTTTTCAATAAATAAATGAAATGCATTATTTCCACAATTTTGTATATCATCTGCTTGATTTATTTTAAATGTGAGCTTTATTATTGATAATTGATGATAATAATATTAATTTCATTTGATATAGCACCTTTCGTATCGAACATCTCAACGTGCTTTACAGGATTTACCGTAGATGTAGTCACTGTATTGGAAAGTGAAAATGGCAGCTGATCTGTGTTCAGAAATGTTCCACAAACAGCCATGAAGTGAATAAGCACCTTGATCTGCACGACTGCTGGCGAGGAAACTGTGAGAGACTCTCTTCTCTTTTGAAGTAGTGCCATGGGTTCGTCAACATCCACCTGATCAGGGAGATGCATCCAAGGGATGGTACCTCCACCAATCCAACATTCTCCCCAGCACTGGATTTGAGTATTGACCTAGACTGTATGATCAAAGTCCCAATGTAAGACTTGAATCTTCTGACTCAGGGATGAGTGTGTAACCAACAGAGTCAGGCTGACACCTATGTTCAAGTCTAAAAATATAACAGGTATAATGCTGTTCCACCCCATATTTAACACCAGCTTTAACTTTCAGGGGAATTTTGTGCAACGTTTATAGCCAGGCTAATAGTGGTGGTGGGGGGGCGGGGGTGCGAGTCTAGCCAGAGATTAACAGTGAGCCATCTTCAGTCCAACTCTGAGAACTGTCTCAGTATCCAGGAATGCATGTGCAAGAATGACTTCCTTACGTAACACACATGGAAATTGTGTATTTAGTTTGCGTTGAATTCCGATTGTGTCGAATTCCTAAATTGCATTTTCGCCCACAAAATACACAGTCAATTCACTTCACTGCATACTCTGTGAAGCGCTTTGAGACATTTCAAAGGCGTAATAAGACGCCATATCAAATGCAAAGATTATTATTATAACTATTACAGAAAATGGGTCCATCCAGTGTCCAGCACAAATCCAATCTCCCCTGGGACCACGAGGATAGCAACATGCATCACTGGGACTGGGGATTCTGTTCTTGGACAATGAGGAAACCAAAGCGGTTTGTTGTAGCCAAGTATAACACTGCTGGTCTGGGCAAAGGACATGGTTTCACGTTCTCCACTTGTCCTCAGCATCCCCTGTGGCCTGAGACACCAGTATTACAAAAGCATCATCAGTCACACCAGTAGCAGAAATGAGAAACAAGAACAAGGAACAGCTGAAAGTTTTATATTCAGAGTGTTTCCAAGGGGAGTGGGTGGGAGAGAGGAATTAGAATATAATTGAATAGAAATGACAGTCACTGTTGTTTCAGCAAGAATCAATTTCCGTCAGATCGATTCAAAAACTTACAAAAAACAGATGCAACTGTGGGTAACACATGAAACACTGCCACAGTGCTAACGTGTTAATTCTGTAGTACCAATGAATGAGCAGACAAGAGGTGTTGAATCCAATACAATTTTAACAAACCTGTACCCAGTTTAGCAATTGACTTGTCTCTTATCAGACTAAATACTGTGTGAGCACTTAAATAAAATGGCTCATAAACAGGCACCTCCCTCTTCATTATAGCCCAATTATTGAATAGATGAGGCTGAAGGAGTGATCTGGTTAGCTGAGGGAGCGGGTATTAACATATGATAAAGGCACTATAGCTGGCTAGTTACCACACAATAAAGTGTTATCTCATCATTAAGCACGACAATGAATATTCCAGCAGATTTTACGCTGGTAAAGGTGACTGAGATTTTGCAACCACCTCACAGATCCCAATCCTGATATAGAATTTGACATATTGTAATAAAATTGAAGGCAGCCAACCGACCCCTAGATGTGTAAAGTACTTTATCACCGGTATAAAAATGGAGTGCAAAATGACACATGAAACCTCTAAACATTGGTTCAACAAAATCGCTATCGCATCAAGATGACTTCCCGGTGCTTAAAATAATAAAATATTCTAGGCTGAATTGTCAGCCATAGCTTAGAGACTTTATTTTCTTTCACAAATGGAATAATAGAATAATGATAGTCTCTTTTGTAGTAGTTTATTTGCCAATTACCCTGTGGCAATGCACATCGGATATTAATTCCCACTTGCCGATGGCTGGAATTTGTAGGTGACCCATGCAAGAGCATATAATTATTACTTAATTAAATTGGGGTATCAAACTGTGCAAAAGTTTTTAATATTAGCCCATTCCTGTTAATGACTTCACATTTAAAACCTTTTGAGCTCCCCACACACCGTCCCTCTCCACACACACACACACACACACACAAAGAATTGCGTTTGAAGAGAGAACCACCGAATGTAAACAAACTACATTTTATTTCTAGGGCTCGGTTCCCACTTTAACATTGTGATAGACGAGGCACGAGAACACATCATAACGCATGGAAAATACAGCTCACGCAGGAAGTGAACAACCTGCACGAGGCATGTATGGCAATGGGAGGTAACAGTGCCGTAGCTTTCCACAGGAAGCTAAAATTCTGAATTTTAGGATGTCTTCGTGTGTATCTAATTTACTTACTAGCACAGAGACATGCACGAACAAAGTATGAGGGAGGGCTACTTTGCAATGTTTCTGCAAGTGATTCTTTATCAAGGAATCAGTGTCGCACAAATGGAGAGTCCTCCTGAAGAATTACAGGAACCCCACTCCGACTCAATCTATTTCCGGAGCAGTGTTTTTCCCCCGGGTTGAGCGAATTCTAATGGGATTCCTTATGAAGGAATTTGTTAAGCGATACCGTGGAGATATTAAAATAGACGAAAGCGATGAAAATCAGTGAGTGGATTGTGAAGGATGTGAATGTACAAAACCGTACATATTTCTCTCCCTCTCTCTCTCTCTCTCTCGGGGAAGAGACTGCCATCGGTGCTTCAAACCGTAGCGGACGCTCACAGGGTTAAAAGCAATAGGCTTATCCGTTCCTGTTCAATACTTTGGCAGGAGGGCTCCAACGTAGCCTCATGCAGCACAGGAAGCTGTGCACTATTCACATTGCTGCTTCAGTGAAACCATACTGTCCTGCAGTTTATATATATATATATATATAAAAAGAAGGAAAAGAGCCTAAAGGCAACAGGATAATTAAGCAAACTCAGTGACAGCTGTGGCAGGTCTTGCACAGGACTGGCTCCGCTGAGCTGAATTAATAGCATCAACAGCCCAACAACCCAGCATCCACATTAACATTTGATCATTAATTATTACCCTCTGACAGTGAGATCTGAAACCTGCCCGGGATTGTTTGGTTACTAATCTACTGTACCTGCCCCCCACAATGCCAGTGTCCAGTCTCCTCCTTACCGCTCGCTCACCTTAGCACATCACTCGTCCTCAACAAACTGGACACCTTTCATTTTCCTCGTAATCTGAGAGCACGGAATGTATTGAGACTCAGACGCCGGGATCACAGAAGGTAAAATGTGTTGTTGGGAATCCTCAAAGTAGCCTGTCAGAGATGGAGAAAAATCCTACAGAGGATGTACTCTGTGTTCCTTCCCCGCATCCCCACCCACTCCCCTCACATTGAAGATGAGGTACACAAGGTATTCCAAAATAATAATAATAATAATAATTTTGTCACTCAATCCACGACCGTTTGTGGGAGACTGCTGTGCACAATTGGTTGCCACGTTTCACCCACAAAATACACAGTCAATTCACTTCACAGTATATTCTGTGAAGTGCTTTGAGACGTCTAGAAGATGCGATCAGGCGCTATATCAAATGCAAGGATTATTATTATTATTATATAACCTGTGTAGCTATCCACAAGAGAACAAATAAATGGCAACTATATAAGATCGTTGCAAAATATGAAACCTTTTTTTAAAAAATAGGGGGATAAGTATCTTTATGACATGCCTTGTAAAAAATAATATTGTGTGTATAATTTTAATATAAATTGGAGGGAGTACAACGAGGCAGTAGATCAAAAGGCTATTTCCTGCAGGCGGAGGGGAAAGGCACAGGGGGTGGATAATGTTACACTGTTGGGTTGAGGAGGGAGGAGTTTTGACAACAGGAGGCTAAGTTGGTGAAGGAGTAAAGACCTCTCTATCTCTTGTCGGCACCTCCACTTCCAGTCCTGCCTTTTTGCTTGGTTCAGACATTGAACTTGCTCATGGTTTGGTGTGCGACTAGAGAAATATGAACCCCTTTGACAGGCAAGGTTTCAGAGAGACAACCCCGCCCTCACAAACACAGCCTCACACACAAGCCTCACACACACACACACACTGTATGAATTGCAAAGTTTTGCCTGCCATTTCCATCTTATGCACAGTGACACTGTTGTTGAATTTACATAGAATTAGGTAGAGCATTACCGAAAAACCACAACAGCAACAAATTATATACCACTTTTCACATCGGTAGGACGTCCCAAGGTCCTAAAACAGACCATTCAGCCCAACTGGTCCATACCGGTGTTTATACTCCATGTGAGTCTCTATCCCTCCTAATACCCTCTCCTGTAGCCCTTTATTCCCTTCTCCCTTATGTAATTTGCATGATTTGCAAAAGGATTTGTAAATAGGAGATCCTGCAGGTGCCTGATGAGTCTCAGGTCAACCCATGGGAACTCTGCTCTGACACTGACTACAATTTCATCCTCCTTGGATTACCAGCAATAGGAGAAGTCTCCCAGTACTAGGCAGAAGTTTGGGGTCTGATCAGACTTATATTCTCTGCTATTTATTCACGATGTAACTGCTACTTTGCAGAAGTCTTTCATTTACCTTGGATACTCTTACAAAATTAATAAATCAGCAAGGTCATTTTGCACGTGTGTGGGTGTGTAAAAAATAAGGAAATGGATTGCTTGGAAAAATGCAGGACAACGGAAAGGAAAGTATTGATAAATTGTTGTATGTGTGAGTATTGATGATGGTGATAAATTGATCATAGAAATTTCCAGTGATCAAAGCCCAGGTCAATGCTATTCAGATTAAGCTGTCTCCTGTACTACTCGCCGCCTGTCATTTATCAGTTGTGCCTCTAACTCCACGGTCTAGGTTATAAAAAAAAGTGGAGATTTCTTGGAAGTACGAATTATTTGAGGCTAGTTTTCAGATTCCTGGATTTTATGGGCATCTTGGATTACTTGAAATAAGTCAAGGTTGCATTTACTGGTATGTTACTGAAATTACTCTCCCCATATTCCTTTTGACCGTCGATCAGTAAGGTGAGTCCACAAAGAAAAAAAACCACACGCATGTTTCTACGACCGAACGCTGCTACTTCGCAGCAAGGCTCATGGTTTCACGTCTGTCAACCTGAAATATAATCTGGAATAATCAGGAGCATAGTACCGTTCGAGTGCATTTTACTGGTGCTGTTTACTGGTGACTGGGGAATGGGTTTTCATGTTTTTGACTGGACTTTTCAGAACCAGAAAACATTTTGGGGGCATTCTTAAAGTTAAAATCCGATCCCCTCACCCACCTCACCACATCGCATTCATTCCCGAAGCTTCCAGATAAGGCAGACTCGTCCTTTCAGCATGCTGCCAGGAAATAGGCTGTGCAATTCGCATCTACCTGCGGGGCTGGGATATAAGACACCACTGCTCTCCTAGGGATCAGATGCAGACATACCTCTCTCCTCCCCCCAGACACATCAGCCCATCAGTGCCACTGGGGGAAACAGATGTATCCCTTTGCACTGAAGTATTAGTGGAAATGGATGCAAGTTCTACCACAATGGGACGCAATCCTCTCTCTGCGGGGGTCACCAGGGATTGCACGACCTCCTTCCCCAGGATTCGAATTATGAACCTTATTTTAAAGGCGCCTTCCATCGCCGTTGTAATTCCAGTCCCTGGAATGCAGCTGCTTGCTCAGTTACTGAGCAAACCAGCAGGAGACAATTGGCAGCATACACAAAGGCTCAATAATACGCAGGAGAGCAAAGTATCCCTCTGTGCATTCGCGGTGCATTGGTAAGTCATGGCACATGGGCCACAGGAGGTGTGGGGTGGGGGGGGGTGGAATGTATGTGCACAGAGAAATGCTTGAGAGGTAGACAAATTGGTGAGAAAATATAAATAGATCTCTCTGCTCCACCTAATCCATACTGGACCTGACTGGGAATGTTTGATATACAGTACATGAGGTTTGCATTTAATGTAGCAATTTATCATCATCATCATCATCATCATCATAATAACAATATGTCATCTCAAAGTGCTTCATAGGATTTACTGTGAAATGTAGTGACTGTGTATTTGTGTAGGCAAACGCGGCAGTCAATTTGCACACAGCGATTTGCTACATTTACACTTGGAGAAATTCCCTTCTCTTTTCAACTAGCGCCATGGGAATTTTAACGACCCTCTGAATAGGCAGAAGGGACTTTGGTTTAACGGCTCATCCGAAGGACGGCACCTCTGACAATGCAGCGCTCCCACAACACTGCGTAGGTAGTGTCAGCCTATGCACAGATGTTTAATATGTTGCCATAGGGTTTGCTATAGGAACTTTTAGTTTCACGTTGGTTTATATTTCTAATTATCAAGGCAGCTATAACAACGCAAATCCTAACGTTATAGATTTGATAACAAATGACTACAGCGAGTCTAAGCTCTCGAGGTACACAATTATAGATTTGCTGCGTGCTCCTGACGTGAAATGTAATTTGTTGTTGTTTGTTGTTGTTGTTGCAGAGAAAATACTGTCCTGCTATTCTTGATGCGCTGTTCCAACAGGCAGGAAGCTCCACTCGGAACTGTGACTTCTGGAATTTGTTGTTAAGTCAAACACTTTGCCAAGTGTACACTTGCACTCGTAAAGGATACAAAAAAAACATCAAAATTCAAATCCGGTTTCTGAACAGCTAGTTTCTGTACAGAAAATGTCCCTTCCGGTATATCTGTCAAACAGCAAATGGTGTAAAAAGACTTGGCAGGTGCAATTACATTATCACCTCTGAAGAAGAAAGGTTAATGGAAACTCTATTAGGCTTGGAAAACACAGAAAGATGCCCTTGTAGTGTCTGTCGACAGACTTGCTTCACCACTGAACTCCAGCTGTACTGTGTACTGTAAATTAAATTACTGGCCTCATCATCAGTCGCAAAAACATTTGCAAAAATTGACTTCAATCTCTCCCACGTGGCTTTATTAAATATTGCCCGAAGATTTATTTTAATCTGAATTGTATGATGTTGGTGTGCTCTAAGTTATGAAGAGTGCTTTGTAGAGATGGTATGCAATGCATTGCAGGGCCTAGATAAACAACGATAATTATAGTCCTTTCATTTGATATAGCAACTGGAACATCAATAACTCACAGCACTTCACAGGGAGTTCGTGGAAAGTGTAGTGACTGTGTAATTGTAGGCAAATACGGCACTCAATTTACACACAGTACTGTGGAACCATGAGATGAATAATCAATTTATCTGAAGGGTTGTTGCCCATCACGCTAGGAGAAACCTCCTTTAATAATTATAATAATCCTTATATTTGAAATAGCACCTTATCACGTTGTTGAGACGTCTCGAAGCGCCTCACAGACTACTCTAAAATATAGTGACTATGTATTGTGTAGGCGAAAAGCGGAAGCCAATTGCGCACAGCATTGTCCCACAAATAGTCGTGGATATAATGCAACCATCAAGCAAACTTCTCAAACCTATCAAGGCAACAGCAATTGTTAAAAATAATTTTTAAATTCTTTTAGAATAGAGTAGCCTCAATCGGTAGTCTTGTCTCTGGGTCAGAAGGTTGTGAGCTCAAGCCCAAATTGGGACTTTGTGCTCATGGTCTAGGCTAACACATAGTGCTAGGGGAAATGTTGCACTGTCGGAGGTGCCTTCCTTCAGACGTGACTTAAACCATCTGCCTGTTTAGGTGGATGTTAGATCCCACGGCACTATTCAAAAAGACAAGAGAGTTTCTCCTGGTAGTAAATAATTCTCCACATAAAGAGTTCGCTCACTTCAAGGCTGTTTGTGGGATATTGTTCACCTACATTTTACACAAACTTTGAAATACTTTCAGGCATTCTTGACATAATAGGACTATAGTAAATGCAAGGATAGTTTATTAAATTGTAATTAAACCTGGCCTTTATCAATAACCAGCAGGAAAATGAGAGTGTAACATATCAAGGAACATATTATGGTTAACAAGATCCATTTTCATTCATACATTCTACATGAATTCTAAGGATGGAGATAAAAGTCAGTGAATTAACGTTTCACGGATTAATTATCTTAGGTTATGTCAGTTAACTTATTTTGTCTATTTTTTCTCAGTCTTCTGCAGCTTACATTAAGAGACCTTTTGCAGCACGACATCAAGTTGTGTTCGTTGGCAATAGTATAAGCAACTGAACTGTGGTATTTGGATTGGAAGTTGATTCAAAGAATGCTGGTAATATATGATTTGAAACCGTTAGATGGGCCAATGCACGTCAGCACTGCAGTGGTAAACTCCCTGTCTGGTGAGGATAGTTTGAATACCAGTCTCAAACAGTGTTTGCACTCTCGCTCCCATTAGGGATGATCTCTCTGCTCTCAGCCAGAGTGTCTTACATAGAAGTGAAGGAAAGCTAACGGGAGAGGAAGTTCCTTCTCACATTACCCAAGTGGAGATTCTAGCAGATTGACCCAGAACCTGACAACCCAGCTGGGCTGACTTCCTGCTCTCCCGAGGACTCTAACATTGGATAAAGAGGGACCAACGCAGAGAACAGGAAAGGGAACTTCCCAATGTATATGTAGCTTTGTTTATCGCTGTGTACAACATTCAAAGTGCTTCAAAGTTCATTAAAGCATCCATTACCTTCATTTCTATTCTGTCAGACCTCGGGCGCTAACAGCATCACCTTTAATGGATGCACTCCAACCCTCCTCCTTGCCTTTTTAAAGACCCATCTCAAGACCCTCCTTTTCGACCGAGCCTTCGGTCACCCACCTATCCTCCTAGATCATCCAGAACTCTGCAGCCCGTGTCCTCTCCAGCACTAGGCTCTGCGACCCTATCACTCCCATCCTTGCCCAACTCCATTGGCTTCCCATTACACAAAGGATACAGTTCAAGATCCTGGTCCTCACCTTCAAAGTCCTCCTATCTCTGCGACCTCCTAACCCCCTACCTTCCTGTTCGCTCTCTCCACTCAGCCGACTCCAGCCTGCTTCACGTCCTCCACCTCACTCGCCCCATTATTGGCGGGCGGGCCTTCGGACACTCTGACCCCACCCTCTGGAACGCCATCCCGCAGTCCCTCTGTCTCACCCTCTCCCTTGCCAACTTCAAGACCCTGTTCTTTCGACCGTGCTTCCGATCTCCCTGCTTCCTCCCCGCCCTCCACCCTCCCCGACCCCGACCCCCAGCTCGGATCCGTAACTCTGTCTGTCCAGCACCTTGGAACGTCCTCCCAACGTGAAAGGCGCTTTACAAATGTAATTTTGTTGTTGTTGTTTTCCAGACAATAAGTGGTAGATTGTAATATCTGAAGAGATCACTGTGGGTTCTACATGACTCACAATGGAGAGATGCAAAATCTGTTCAGGTTTGGTTACCAGAAAACTTCTTTTATTTGAATGCATCAAGAATATTTTCAAAAAGGACAAAACAAATGAAACGTACTCATGGATTATTATTGGTATTATTGTGCATGCAACTATGTAACTTCCCTCAGTAGAAATGAAGCAATGCAAAGATCCTAAAGTGAAATTGCAACATGTTATTGCCTTGTGATAGTCACCACTCAATCCACGACTGTTTGTAGGACACTGCTGTGTGATATCGGCTGCCGTGTTTTGCCCACAAAAAGTCAATTGATTTTAAAGTATATTCTGTGAAGCGCTTTGAGTCGTCTCAAGGATGCGATAAGGCTCTATATCGAATGCAAGGATTATTATTATATTTAAGGAATTGTATGTAGTATGAAACATCGTAAATTTCACTTTTTAATAAAACTCATCTGAAATTGATATTAACAATAACTGTACAGGTCTTTGAAACATACATAAACTCGCTTTTTCCACTGATTGTATCTATGGTATTACAGACACAGGCGCTGTCTAATTTAAATTTATACTGGCCTAAAGCACAATTCTACCAAGAGAGGCACAACCGCTTCTGAAGGTTTAGTAAACCAATATTATTTAACATATCTGATGTAGCATTTCAAGTGGGCGAGATTAGCTCTGGCACAGAGGCTCTGCCAAGCCCTGCCCACCCCCTGCCAACAGCTAAAGGCTAAGCCTTTTCTACTCTCACAAGGATTTCCATATTAACTAATACTATAGAAACATGGAATTAGCAGTATTCTGAAAAAGTGTCACTCACACAAACCCTTCTTTGCAACTGGAGCATAAATGGAATAAAAAAAAACACACACAGTACATTTGCTGAGCTTCAAGCTCGCTTCATCGCTGTGACATTCACGTGGGACCAAGTCCCGTGTTGCTAAAATAACGACTGATGTTTAATTTGTATGTTTGTTGTGCTAGTGACAACTAGTGAATTAAGTGATGAGCACAGACATCTTAGCACTAAACATCCTGTTCCCCCAGAGCGTGAAATTCATATCAGCCAAGTAATCCAATCTACAGTATAATAATATTACAATGATAATCTTAGCATTTGATATAGCGCCTTACCACTTACAGGATCAAACATTAGGTAAGTTTTCTTACTCCACAAGAGTCTGTTTACCTCACAGTAAGTAGAAACCCGGATGTTAGTAGATTGACGGAATGCTTTCTGGGGGTAATAATCACTAAAAAAAGTAATAATTTGGTCACTTGATCCATGACTGTTTGTGGAACACTTGTGCACAGTCGTGGATTGAGTGACCATTTTTTTTTGCAGGAATTATTATCCCCCAGAAAGCGATCTGCCAATCTACTAACAACCGGGTTCCTAGTTACTGGACACCAGCTGCAGATGATCTACAGCTTCTGGAGGGAAGACTTGGGAAGGCCGACAAGCAGGGAGTTGGCGTAGTCGAGCCTAGATAGCACTACACTGGAGTGTCAGCCTAGACTATGAATTCACATATGAAAGAATTCAATAACTATCTGAACAGAAGAAATTATAAAATGGTATGGGGGAAAAGGCAGAAGGTACTAAATCGATAGCTCACTTATCGAACACTGACAGGCTTGATGGCCTGAAAACTTACTATAAGTTTATATGGTTCTGATCCCGAATCCAACTGAGCTGCCTGGGATATTATTAGCCAGTTTTGAAGATGACTGACATATGATGGATCTTTTTCCTATTCTCTTTTATCATTCAAAAGGCTTTCCTTTAATGAGGTGAGGTGATGGTTTCATTGTATTTCTTTGCTTAATTGTGTAAGACAATTATAAACATAAATACTGTAAAAAATATTTAAGGGATAAGTAAAAACATCAAGCTAATTGGGAAAGAGCTGGAAGTGGTATAAGTAATAGAGAGATGATTTAGCATTTATCCCATAACAATGTGGACAAATTTCTTAATTGCAGATAAGCTGGTGTTGTATAATTCCAGAACTGAGTAATTCACATGGAACTGTTAAGGAAATAATAGACAATTGCTTCTCTCCAGTTGCAGTCGCATTGTTTAAAGCAAAATGTGTGTGTTTAATTCTAGGCTTGAAACTGGAGTTCGGAGGGGAGCGTATTACTATTGAGATAATGTGGCTCTGTTCTGAGCATACTGCCAATATAAGTTTAAGAATAATGAACGAATAAATAGTAGTCCCAATAACAGTCACTTCAAACTCAATACTGTAATTTGTCTCTCCTTTGCAAAAGTCTGCACGTTTAAACTGTGATGATTTCATTCTTGCTTAACTCGTGGAAACTTGCTTAACTCCTGAAAAGAAATTTCACCTGAAAGTGGCTCAGCTCGAGTAATTCCCGGTGTTTAAAAAACCAGTACGTTATTTACTGTTACGTAACACGAGATGCTGGCGATAGCTGCTAACTGTTGCGCCTTCTGCGGTTGAGCCTTTCTGCTGCGCTCAGGAAAAAACAGTTTCCTTTTTATTGCAAAATCTCCAAGTCCAACAGGTGTATGTAATCGTGAACCGCAATGCAAGAACACAAACTGCTACCTTCTAAAAATTCCACTGAAGTGACACAAAGTGGTCAAGGTTGCACAATTTCACTTTCCTGTACCGATTCTGATGACTCATTATCTTCAGTCAGGCAGTCAGGCAGGCAAGGTTTGGTGTGTGTGTGTTTATGTGTGTTTGTGTGTGTGTGTCTGTGTGTGCGTGTGTGCCTATCCTATTGTCACATCTTGCTGCTTTGTGTGAGTCTGATTATTAACGCTTCAACTGCTGGAAACCTTATGAAGGAATCCCGTTAAGAAATATCGCAAGTTAGACCCTGGCATTTCTTGAGTTGAAAACAGCGCACGGAGATTAACGCGTTAACACTTCGGAGATCCCACGGGGGCCAATCTCCACCACACAACTGCTCTGGAATTTACACCCTATTGGTGATTAGGGCCAAGCCTCTTGTTGGCGACTGCACTGTGTATCTAAAAGTGAATCCAAGTGAAATGCCAGGGTGCGGTGTCTCACTTGGTATCCAGTGGAGCTGTAGCGTAACATAAGCTCTGGGATCAGAAACACAAGCTGTGATTCGATTCAGGAATCCAAGATAATAGCCCCAAAATACATGGAAGCTGTGTTGGACCCAATCATTGTTCTGAATTATTGGGTAGGAGGGATAGGGGGGAGGGAAGGCAAAATCACAAGACTGATTTGGATGAATATATTCTCTCATCACAGCATCAAGCTGCTTTTTAAATAAAGCCAGTGTCCCAGCCTCAACAATTCCTCCCCAGTAACCCATTCCAGTCATCTGAAACCCTGGTCCATGCCTTTGTCACCTCTCGGCTGAACTACTCCAATGCCCTCCTCGCCGGTCTTCCATCCACTACCATCCATAAAATCCAAATCATTCAAAACTCTGCCGCCCGCATTCTACCTGCACGAAACTCCACTCCCCGATCACCCCAGTCCTTGCCAGACTGAACTGCCTGCCTATCCCAGAGAGGATAGATTTCAACATCCTCACCCTCGTATTCAAGTCCCTGCATTCCTCTGCACCCCCCCTACCTCTCTGACCTCCTCTCTCCTCAAAACAGTACCCGCTGCCTTTGTTCCTCCAGGTCTGGCCTCTTCCTCGTCCCCCAAGTCCTCTGCTCCACCCTCAGTGGCCATGCCTTCAGCCATTATGCCCGAGGCTCTGGAACTCCCTTCCTCACTCCCTCCACCTTGCTCCCTCCCTTCCCATTTTCAGATCCCTTCTGAAGACCTTTCTTTTCGACTGCACCTTTTGTCACCTTCCTCCCCCTCCCCCTGGCTCGGTCCCAGAATCCGTTACTGGAAGCGCTCTGAGACGCCGTCCGGCATGGAGGGCGCTATATACATCCAAGTTGTTGCTGTTGTTGTTGTAATTACCTTCTGGGCAAAGAAAACTTTCCTGTTGTCTGTCCTAAAATTCCCCTTTGCAACTCTACACCTACCTCGTTTTGTTCTACTGTCTATGCTTCCTAAAGTATTTTCTGGGTTTACTTTTCCAATCCAATTTAAAGATTTTATAAAGGTCTCTCATTGATGTCTTAATACCTACAACCAGGTTTTAAGAATATTTGGAAAATCTTTAATCAAACATTGTTTCTTATCGTTCTGCCATTCTGGTGTGATTCAGAAATGCTAAATATGTGATAGCCCTGGAAATGAGTAAACAAATCCACCCCTGATAATATCTGCTACTAGAAGAAATTACTGGAGAAAAAGGAATCAGGCGGACTTGCTCCACAGTAGGTGCTGGGATGCTAACATGCTCTTTTCACTTGATAAGAAAAGCCATTATCCTGCCAGACTCTGAGGCATATTTAAGATCACCGGCGAATATACTGACAGGGTGGCCTGACGTAATGGATAATAGATTGTGTGGCATAAATGTATTTGAGGAGACAGGGTGGTGCATTGGATTAGCTTCCTGTCATTTCACCTTTGGGACCTGATTTTAAATCCAGGCTAGACCGATCGGCTGAAAATCTCTTCTCTCTCTGGCAATGTTGGTGAACTGTTATTTAAGCAGCTCCAGCCCAGTGTCCTTAGTGGGTGCAAGTCCCAACTCAAATGTGTCCATACCTCTTCTAAGTTAGCATCTTACTGCTTTCAGCTATAAGGAAAAGTTTGGACACTCAATCCACGACTGTTTGTGGGACACTGCTGTGCTCAATTGGCTGTCGCATTTCGCCCACAGAATATGCAGTCAATTCACTTTACAGTGCATCCTGTGAAGCGCTTTGAGATGTCTCGAAGATGTGATAAGGCGCTATATCAAATGCAAGGATGATTACTATTATTAATAAGGAGAGGTAGGAAATGGCAAATGAAGTCTGGTGCAATTCAGGACGCTCTTTAGAGGTTGAGTGCTGGGAAAACTCTTCTGGCTGAAGACCTGCTACATCTGATGTGATATCAGTTGGAACATCTCAAAAGTGGATTTCACTGTGATATGTAGTTGTTGGGCATTTGTAGGCAAACATAGCAGCTGATTTGCACAGAGCAATGTCCCCCAAGCAGCTATGAAATGAGTGACCAATTTTATCTGGGGGACCAAATAAAAGCCTGTCAACTGTTTCTTGATGAAACAATGAACCTGAATTCTCAATTCACAAACAAAAGTGGATAATAATAATAATAATAATAAATAATCCTTGCATTTGATATTGCACCTTATCACATTATTAAGTTGTCTCAAAGCTCTTCATAGAATATATTGTAAATTATAAGAGAGAATTCACTGTGTAAACTGTGGGCGAAATGCAGCAGACAATCATACTCAGCAGTGTCCCACAAACAGTCATGGATTGAGTGACCAAGGTTGTTTATTTAGAAGGGATTATTACCCCCGGAAAAACGATACGTGAATCGACTAACAACCGGGTTCCTACTTATTGATAGGTAACCAGAGGAGTGAGGAGTAAGGGAACTTGCTAAGCTTTCGCCCTGCCTGAGATGAACTGAAGTTAGCTCCAATATTGTTAACTGAATGTATTAGTTTCGATGGAGGAAGAGATGGGCAAGCATAGATCCCAACCCAATGTATGTCTATTACACACAACATCTAGAGGCTCTAACTAATGTACTTAGCTTTGCAATAAGGTGAATGGTGATATCACTATAATTTCCAAGCCTGTTGGGATGAAAATAACACTAAGAAGTTATGGCAGATGAAACCAGTGCACCAAATTGTGCCACTGATTGATATGTAGACTTAACATAGCATAAGATGAAGCAAATAATTTCTTCATCCACGCATCGGGAGCTTCATATGCTCCTAATCAGCATTTGATAACAAAACCTGTGTGCACTGATCCCCTAGTAACAAGAATATTGTATCATAGCAACACTCTTAGATAGTCAAACTATTTCATTCTGCTGGTGGGAGCTCTTAGCAGGTGGGTGACTGGTAGTGTTGATAAACATTTACAGCATTGTCGGGTATCATGTTTACCAACACCTTGATCATGAAAACATTTCATAGAAATGTGCTTCGAGCTCCATCACAAACAAACAAAAAATACCCTCGTGGGAGCACGACTGTAATTTATAGTATTTATATTTGCTTAATAATTTATCAGGTACATGTTAAATTTCTCTTGTCTAGTATTGGGGGGAAAAAAAAATAGCGGTGTTTCATAACGGATTTGACGTGGTAATAGTGAACACATCGAATCTGTTGCTCAACTTTAATGATTGTTTTTCATTCCCATTGTTTGTAAAGATGTCCCGAAATTTCAGCCGTGAATTGTACGTGATCATCTGCTGAAATATTTCAAGATCGTAAGACCAACCAGTCACCGCAGGTTGATTCAAGATCAAAAATGGATCTTGTCACACAGCCCCAAGGCACAGACTGAAACGGTTTTGATCTTAGCAGAGTAAGGACCAAACCAGAGCAAAAGTGTGACACATTTTTGCAAATTGGTACCATGTCAATGTGTTGTGATAAACAGAGTCGCCTTATAATTGGCCCAGGGATGTTCAAGGAGCCAGCACACAGGATTGAGGAAGAAAAGGTATGGGATAGCAAGCAAAATATATCATTTTTTAATTTTAAAAGATAACAACAGCAACAACAACAACTTGCATTTATACAGCGCCCCTCTCGCAGGGTAGTGTCCCAGAGCACTTGATTTATTTTTATTTTCTGCTGGTGGATCAATAGGTTTAGCGCTACAAAAATTGCTCGCCTGGTATGATATTTATTTACAGTCATTCACCAATATTTCCCCTGCCTCCGCCCCTTTCCCCCCTCTCTGAAACCTCACATAAGCAGTGGAGGGGTTGATTATATACAGTATATACAAACTATACAGTCAATTTGATTTAAAGTACATTCTGCGAAGCGCCTTGAGATGTCTCAACAACGTGATAAGGCGCTGTATCAAGTGTATTATTGTATTATTATTATTACACTCCCAAGAAAAAGTGTAATAATAATAAGATCCAAGAAAAACTTGAGATCCAGGAAAATCTGCAATTGCACATATGTGGACTTTATTACAATGTTGGGGTGGGGGCTTGGGGAAGCGACTTCATAAAACTGTGAGCCAAATCTGAAGCGAGTTG